GTGTGTGTGTGTGTGTGTGTGTCTGTATGTATTCCTACTGGCTGGCTACACGGCTACCTCTCCAGCCAGGCTCTGAGCCTGAGGGTCAGGGATGTTGATTTATTCATCATCCTAACTCTTTAATGCCAGTGTGGTGCCTTCCATTATCAAACCTCTCAGACTTCAGCTGGTCTGAATTGTGCTTTTCTTACATAACTGTTTTGTGCATGTTAGGCTGCTTGATGGGAAGATCTCAGATCTCTGTTTGACATTTTACAAAAAATCTTGTTTGCTCACATCACAGTTGGGAATTAACTGTGGGATAATGGAGTCAACCCAGGACTGAAAGCCAAAAGACTTAGGTTCAAGTAATTGTGGGCCTGTAACAAGCTGCAGGACCAGGAATCCACTAGATTAGGCTCCTCCCCAGGCCTCCTTTTCATACTTGTCGAGCAAGAGGGGGTGGGTGCGGTGCCCTTGTCTACAGTTCTGTGGTCTCCAGCTGGCCAAGGGCAGCTTCCTCATTCACAGGGCACCACTGTGATATCACTGATCTACAGGAACTGCAGACCCCAGACCACCCTTCTTGGGTAATACCAGTATATAGGGCAAACGTCCCAGGTTACCAATGGATTGCTTAATGCTTGGGGTGCAAATTAAGGCAGTCTGAAAGTCTGGCAGAATGCAACTGTAATTCTGAGGCAGTTATGTTACGTATCACAACAGAGAGCTCCCAGCCACACAATGCTGTGTAGACTCACAGAAAAATAAATGATCTTTTTCTTATGCCCCACACAAGAATGGAGAGTTTAAACGCACATGTAAGGAGGAGGCTAGGCAAAACCTATGCCAAATATGTGACTGTGCACTTGAGTGCCACCTACTTACTTAATTCTAATATTTGCATATCAATCCATCACATCTTTCTAAATGTTTAGCTGGGAATGACTGCATTAGAGTTCCTTATTCTTATGATAATCACTAGAAAGAGAAGCAAGTTGGAAGCCAGTGTTGAAGAAGGCTCTTGGCTACTGTGGGAGGAAAATGGGGCAAAGGAGGGAGGAGGGGTCATCAAGAACCTCTGATGGCTTCCTGCTTCCTAGATGGCTCCCTACTTCCTAAACATCCGAGGTGACACTCAGTAGGCTCATCTGCCACCACTCATGCCAGCCACATCCAGCTGTTCTTTCCTCTCTGCTTTGTTCATTGTGTTTCCTCTGCCTGAAAAATACTCTCCCGGTTTTAGCTCTATAACTGTTGAGATTCCTAGTCATCCTTCAACATCCAACACAAATGTCATCTTCTCTGTGAAGTCTCTGCTTGTCCCTCTCCAGGCTGTCTTTATGTGCCACCCACACAAGTTTATTTATGTGTCTATTATCGCATTTATCATAATCCGACATATCCAGTTAATGGTGTCCCTGTCTCTCCCTGGGGCTGTGATCTCTTCTGAGGCAGGGACCATGTCCTCTTTCTATATACCCAATGCTTCATCCAACGACAGAAACACAGGCTGTATCCAAAAGGTGTTGGTTGAGGGGGGAAGTATCGTTAGGTCATTTAACAGTGGCTTCTGTGACAGTACCTCAGGAAACAAGTGCCTGTCTATGAGCAGGTACACCTCAGCTGACAGATGCACAAGGCAGTAGCTAACCAACAACTAAGTCCAGACGCCCCAAGTTCAGTATTAAGAGAAAAGATAACAGAATGATTAAGAAACGCACTGGACAGCTGACTGGCGATCTGCTCTGGAAACTTCCATTAGGTTTCTACAACTGCAAATTGAACTGCCTATGTTTATTTGCATACTCAAAACTCCCATCTGGATTTCTACACCTCCCAAACATGTTTGGGATTGTTTGACTATAAGATTGTTTGACTATAAGAATCAAAGAGCAGCCATCACCAAATAAAGACTTAGGGAGGAGGCCTCTCCAGCAAATACCTCCACCTGAAAAGTCAATGCAGAGTTCATCTATGTTTAACTGAAGAGCAAGCTCTCAATCCAGCTTTCGATTCTTTAGCACTTCTCTTGTCTCCAGGAGAGAGACAACCAGAAATTTCCACCTCTCAGATATGCAGACATAGTCATACCAATGGCATCACAAAGTATTGGCATTTCTTCCTAGACACTATGCACATCATACCTGCATGTCCACCCAGCACCAAAGCATGTGAATGGCCTGAAAACAGGACACAATGTCAAGGTAGGGCACGGCGGGGCAAAAGGAAGCTTCTAAGAGCTTGGGGGGGGCGGGGTGGGTGCAGTGGCATAGCAACCTCTGAGCACATTTTTTCCAGAGATGCCTTTCCTGGGCAAGGGTAGAAGCTTTTTTAAAGGCTCACTCCCTCAATGATAGAACCTAGATAAGCTTCTGGGAGGCTGCCATAGAAACAGGACTCATTATGCTCGGGGAGAAAAGGCAAATGCTTGAAGGCTTTAAGGTGCCTAGGATGATTCCTTGAACCTCTAGGGGGAGAAGCAGAAAGGAAAATAGGCTAGCTGCTCCTGAGCCACTCTGTGTCCTCCTCTGTAAGCAGTGCCGTGTGTGTGCACACACAGAGACAGTGTATGGAAAATACCCAGCAGTGTCCAGCAACATGGCAGATGGTCCTCCCTTTCTTTCTATACAGAAACCAAGGTTTTAAAAAATGGGTCTTGTCACATTCTAAACAAGGACACTTGGCATATTCCAGATCAAATAGCTTATTCTCTATAGAAAACTCAGTATAACCTGATGTGTTTCTTTTGGAGTTGTCCAGACACGGAGTTGCATTAGAAGTTATCCTGGAACAGGAAAAATTAAGGCAGCAACTGCACTGGAAGATTTTGCTTGGGTAACCCACACACGTAGTTTGTATTAAGTCTATTTTCCAGATTCCAATTGCCTGGTTACTGTCTCTAAGTCTCGTCTTGGACTTTGGATACTCCTTAGCATACACTAAATGGTGACGCCACTGTCTTTCTCTCTCTCTCTCTCCTCTCCCTACCATGTTTCTCTCTATTTGATGAGAGCAGCACAGTGCCAGAGAGAACAAAGGTGGGTCAGAGAAGCTACCAGCCAGAAGAAAATGGAGGTTCTTAGTGGATGCTGAATTAAACAGATGAATGCCCAGACAAAGAGGCCAAGACAACTTTTTTGAAAGTGTAAAACAACAAAATGAGATGAGGGGAGTTATTTGGAGAAAACCCACGTGGGAATTTGACTACTTCCTTCTCTACACATAGAGCGTGTTCAACTCAATATTGTCAGTTAGACAAAGTCTGTCTTGCAGTTTTCCCCAGTGGTACCACCTTTATTTTCTCCCTTCCCCGTAGCACCCAGTATACTGAGAAGCAAGGAACACAGTCCTTAAGATCTGGGGCTCCGAGTTAGAGAAACCTGGGTTTGAACCTTAGTGGTAGGACTTATTAAGGGTGGGTTGTTGGGCAAGTAATTTTATCTGTAAAATGGAGATAAGTAATAGTACTCACACCTCAGAGGCATGTGGTTAGGGTGAGAAATGTATATAGAACATGAATATAATATCTAGCACATGCTAAATGCTCAATAAATGTTATTAGCTATTTCCACTATCATATTCCCTATTTAACAGCCTGAGCCTTGGAGAAGGGAGACCATGAACTCAAGAGTCAAGAGTTCAAACGCAAATTATGCTGCTTACTCACTCAGAACTTGGGAAAGTAATTTAACCTCTCTCTGCCTGAGTTTCTCTCATCTGTAAAATGGGATGACAACCATATCTATCTGATAGGATTCCCAAGAGACTTAAAGGAGCTGACAAATGTAAAGCCCTTGGCCCCTCCCCCTCAAGTCTCACCCCAAGTGTTTGAGGAAAGGACCTGCTAAAACCATTACTCAGTTTTAATGACTGATAATGCTCTAAAGTATTACTTCTTCTTGGAGGGGGGCTCTGCATTAATTGCCCATACGATGCAAGAATGGCTTTCTGAATCCAGACCACAGCAAGTTGGTGTGTGTGGGGGGTGGTATGATATGAATGGTAGAAGAGAAGCTGACTATAGTCATCTAGGCAGACTCCTCTGAAGTCACACCCAGAGGCAAGAGCTCTTGCCTAAGGCTGGCCCTGGCTGCCATTAGCCCGGAACTCAGTGGCCCACGTCAACTTTTAATTTGGAGTTCACCTGATGGTGTTCCTACACAAGGACTCCCTCTTGGGACAAGATCTGGCTCGAGGTTACAATCAGAAGGCTTTTCCTCCCACTGGAAGCACAGGGACGATTCCATCCTGCACACTGCCTCACTCCCATAGGTGGGATTCACTCGGGCTCACAGTGCTGCATAGACTTCATGGGATTTAGCCTCAAACAAGCTTGTGAAGAGAAGAACCATAATTCATCTAGTATTGGACAGACTACAAAGCACTCTCTACAAACAGAACATTATATAAATGCCACTCTTGGTGGTGCAGACACACTACAAATCAACCTTTGGTTTCCTCTATCAGATATGAAAATATTGAGAACCGTATTTTGTGAAGCCATCACTATCTCTAGGACCTACCCAGGCTGATTCCCAGGGCTTCAAGATCTACAATGTGAGCTAACCAAGAAAGAAGTTTAAAAAAAGTATCTGGGGGAAATGAAAAAAGTGGTGGAGAGTCCCCAAAACCCAGACAGTTTCTTACAGTTTAGGAAAATTTCATAGCTAGGATTTTAATCTTACATGGAGTAAACATTTGCCTGTTATTCAGCTGGAATAAGACACAAAGTAAACTTGCTGGTGGCTTGTTAGATTCTGTGAAATTACTCACACACATGTAACTCAACCACAGAGCCCTCAAAGTGTCCACGGGCCTCCTGGTCAAACAGACCCAAACACTTCCACCAGCTTCTACCTGGCAGAAGGAGAAGTTCGAAACCCCAGCCCATCCTCTCTTGCCTTTCACAGTGTGGCCCTGTGGAAGGAGAAGCTCTGTCAGGCTCCCACGCCTGCTGCCAGCTCCAGGGGCCTCTCCCTCTCTGTATGGGCAGACTTTGGGTGATCTGCCTCGGTCTCTGCCATTTATCCCCCCTTCCCCTCCTTGCTTCTTGAGAGTCTTATTCCTCCGCTGCTCCTCACATCTGCTTTCCGTCAATGGAAAAAGCCACATTCTGGGTCTCCCTTCGGCATAGTCACTGGTGAGTAGCAACCCTGGTGGGCAGGTCCTCCCAACCAGAGGAGGCCTTCGAGAAGTATTTTTCAACAAATAGTTGTCCCAAATTGCTGGTCTATAGTGGCAATAAGTAACCAAGACAACCAGCTATGAAATAAAAGCAGTTGTGGGGCTTATGGTGATGGGAAAAGCATCTAGATTAACTTCTCCTTTAACCACACTCTGATCTGTCATGAAGAAAGAGGAATCCTTACACGCATTCCTACTGTTCATTTGCTCAGAGAGCTGAAAACCACTTGAGATTTGGCTGCATAAGTCTATTTATCTCAATCAAAGTTCCCTTACTCCCCTCCCATCCACTCATCTCTTCCCAGATTAATTTATGGATGCATGTCCCTTGAGCATGGGTCAATGGATCATGATGATAATGTTTATTCCTCTGGGAACATCAAATGCACTGGCTGAGCTGTAATTCTCCCTGAGGTCCCAGGGCACATAGTATCTGAAGGCACATTGCTCACTGCACCTTGACCACGAGTGTCACTTTAGAGCACAAGGGTCAAGGGCTCCCCTCACACTTACGTGTTCTTCCGAAGCATAGAGGACTTCCATTAGTCGCTGCACGAGGTCATCGTTTTCCTGCCCATGTTCCTGGCAGAGAAGCTCGATCTCTCTCAACTTTCCGAAGTAGAAATCCCTTTCCTTTTCCACACCTTCAAGGGCGAGTTTTAATGAATGTACCTGTAAGGGAGTGAGGGTAGAGAAGAAAAACCCTGAAATACAGTATAAAAAGTAAGGGCCCAACCATGCCTGCGTATAAAGACCTGAAACATGAAAAGACGACATGCAAAAACCGACGTGCAAGTCTGAGGGAGAAACAAGGGACTGCTGTTTGGAGCTTGAGCCTGGGCCAAACTCTCCAACTTCCACAGCACACTCGTCATTCCCTCTGTCAACTGAGTGTTTATTAACCCGTGTCCAAGGGATTGTTCTGTTTGATACAGTTCCATCCAGTCTCCATAAGCTTTCCTCTCCTGCTACCACGGGCTAGAGCACTCTTTTCTCCTAACTTGTTCATCCTCTGCAGGGAGGGGAGATGAGAGAATGGGAGGAGGGAGGAGAGGTAAAGGAGAGAGGTTGTCACTGTGGTTCCTTTAGATGTATTGTGAGGGCCCTCCTGTCTTCACATCACTTGCATTAAGAGCCGCCCTTAGTTTTGGACCCCTTCATAAACGATCCTGAGCCAAGCTCGACAAATGCTCTCTACTGAGAAACTGGGTGTTGGCTACACAAGGAAAACTGGGCAAGACTAAAAGCCTGCCTGAGTGCATCTGTCTTAATTTCTCTAGTTCTGGCTTTGGGTACATCACAGGAAAGGTGGGAAGATATGGAAGCTCCATTCCCTCAGTGAAATAACCCTCACTCTGTTTTGTCTCCCTTGATGCTGGTTCAAGGACCTTCCAGGGCTGTGCACCTCTCACAGTGATTACAGAGACAGTGCTGGTGAGGGGAAGGAGGCAGTGGGTGACGCAGAGCCCAAGAAAGTTGTCACCTGGGCTAAAGAAACACTGAAGGGGGTGCGTGTAGATAGATCTGGTCTCAAAGCCCAGCTGCCACACTCCTATGGGCACAGCAGCTACACACAGGCCCAAACCATCATCCCCTTCCTGGTCCCTGAGAATCCCTCACTTTTTTTGTTTTTTGGTGAGGAAGATTAGCCCTGAGCTAACATCTGTTGCCAATCCTCCTCTTTTTGCTGAGGAAGATTGGTCCTGAGCTGACATCTGTGCCTATCTTCCTCTACTTTGTATGTGGGATGCCTGCCACAGCATGGCTTGATGAGCAGTGCATAAGTCTGTGCCTGGGATCTGAACCTGTGAACCCCAGGCCACCAAAGTGGAGCATGCGAACTTAAACGCTACACCACCAGGCTGGCCCCTCCTCACTTTTTTTAAACTCTTTGTGCTTTGATATTTATGCAGAGAATATTCGTTAGGAGGTAAATGAAGTCTTTCATGATTCTCCCCAGGTGAAATCTTTCAGTATATTAAAAATCATCCTGAACAGAATTTCCAAAAATTACATTTCAAATGGACAATTTTTTTCTCTCTCTTTCTAGTAACTCTGGGCTTTTGAACATGCTGTTTATCTGTCTGGAATGATTGATTCATTCAGGCATATACTGAGCAAATGCAATGTCTATCCTCTTCCTGCACACCTGGCAAATTCGTATCGATTCTGTAAGACTCAGGGACACGGTCCCTCAGAGTTCACCTCAGATGCCCTCACATAGCTGGTTACAAAGCAGCAGAACATCAGTTTGCTAACTTTCAACTCTAATTTCTGATAATACTATGGCTTGGACATTTGTAAAAACTGAAGGCAACCAGCAGCCTGAATTCCAGGAAAAAGAAAATTCCCTTTATTCTAGAAATGGTTTCTTGCTTTAAAACAAACGAGCCCCCTCCCTGGGCTTGGCCGCAGAATCCCTCCGAAGCCTGCATTTGTGCCAGTAGACGGATCCGTGGCAGTTTAGGTGTCTGTGTCTGCCAGCTCCCCAGTACGAGACAAGAAGGGTCTCTGGACACATTTGACACGCGAACACTAGGTTTGTTTGCCTCTCGAGGGTCCTTTGGTCTGCACGGTGAGCAAAGAGCTGAGGCTTCTGTAGAAATACCCAGCCCAGGCCGGCCTTTGGCAGTATTCCAGACGCATTAGGTAATAGATGTGCAGCTATAAACATTCCCTAGTAAAAACCAACAGGAGCTAAATTATATGACGAAAGATGAATTGGCAAATGAAATTCCATTTTCACAGTCCACTCACAAAGCCCGATCCCTCCCTGCTCCTTCACATGTCACAGCAGAAGCGTAAGCGGTGGAGGGGATGCTGGGGATGGACCCTTGAGGAAAGTCAAGAGGAAGGGACGAGAAGGGGAAGCTCTCTTCTCCCAATTCTTCCCACCCGCTCAGTGTCCACACGCTGCCGGTCCTCTCAGCCTTGCAGCCCGAGCCACAGTGTCTGCCTGGGCTAACCAACACCCACTCTCCAGCCCCCAGGGGTCCCTGAGCACAGCAGTGACTCCGCCCCACTGCCTGTTGGCTAACCCACTCTCCAGGAACAGTCCCTAATGATTTTAGTCATGTCTTTTTCTCCCCTATGTCTTCTGATTCATTTCTATCATTGGAATTGTCTAGCACAGTGGTACTTTTATAGTATGTCATGGGAGACTGCCTGAGTAAAGGCAAGAGGCCAAGTAAATGAGATTCTTCAAGTTTATGGCACTTGTCACTTTCTCCATTACTACCGTAATTAACTCATCAGCCTAGGCACTTTCCCTCAGCCCTTCCTTGTCCTGGTGTCCTCAGTTCTAACACAGCGATGCCTCTCTGGCTACCCACCAGCTTCAGGGGGCCACTCTATAGGCTTAAAGACAGAAAATAGAGGGAGCAATAACAGATAACCATGGAAATGGATCTGGAGTAAGTGCTCAGCAAATAGTTGTTGAACGAAGGCTCACAATTTAGGATGTGTATGGCCTTCCCTCTGAGGGAAGGCGGGTGGCGGGGAGCAGGCACACTCCTCGTTGATGTAAATGCATCAGGGGCAGGCGAGGTTGTGAATCCCTTTGGAAGTAATGAAGGAATTACAATAAGCAGAAGGAAGACCATTGGAAAGTTCCTCTCTCTTTTTTGACTCTGTCCTCTCGAAAGTGGCATTTTGGATGGTAGGACGATGTCTGGGTCCCCTGGGGATGTGGGGCTCTTTGACTGAGAGCTAATGGGAGCCTAGAGCCAGCCCCAAGGTGAGGAAGTGGGGCTGGCTGGCTAAAGCTGTAAGGGAGAGGGCAGGAAGGATCTCGAGGTTTCCATATGATTACACTTTGGGTTGCAGGGTTGAGAACCTGGGTGTGGTTGAGGGGGACGACAGGGAGGAGAGAAATCATGAAGAAACATGAGATAATAGAGATTTCAAAAGAATTTGGGTCCCTAAGGTGAAAAGAGTTATAAATCTAAAGTATTAGAGACCCACGCCTGATTCTCTTCAGGTCCTCTCCATTAGCTCGGAGCCTTAGGCATGTGGCCCAAGGCTCGTTATGGCTGTCCTAACTGCCTTTTCTCTGAGAAGAACTCACTACTGGAAATTCTATATGGGCTCAAACTGAGAATCAGCAGGTAATTAGAACATTTCATAGTTTCTAAATCAAAGTCCTACCTACTGGATGCTTCAGGTTTCACCTTTTTCATTAAAGTGATCAGAACTGTAAAGAAACACCCTCGTTAAGCAACTGCCTGCTTTTAAACTAGGTTCTTGATTGCAAATATACAATTATCTCAAAAACTGTTTCCAGACTCTTGCTGACTCATCAAGAATCAGATTAATCACTGGGATTGGCCCAGTGAGTGGCTGGGAACAGCCTGAGGACCTTGAATAAAGGCTCCTCTCCCAGTGGTGGGAGCAGCCAGGATTAAAGACTCTCCCAACTCAAGGCGAGGGAGGGTGATCTGCAGTGGGCCCTACATTGCCAACTGGTTTATTACTTTTAAACCATGTTTAATCTTAGGCAAAATTAGCTATGGTTAGTTAGAAAGCACACCTAAACCTTTATATTGAAAATGTCAAAGACAGCAGAACTAGCTTTACTGTAATCATGAGGAATATTAGATAGAAAGGAAAGTTCTTCTACTTAAAACACAACTGTGGCCTTTCTGATCCCTCCAATACTGGGTTCAGTGCTCCTGTGGCACCAAACTTCTGCTGTTGTGGGAAGTGTTAGGTTTTCTGCTTTCGCCTGTGTAATAGCCTACTGTGTGCAATTGCTGTCTGTAAGTTCTATGGGGAAGGGAAGGGATCTGTCTTGCTCCCTTTACATTATCAGCATCAAGCACAGTGTCTGTCACATAGAACAGGCTTAACAAATAGTTGCTGAAGGAAAAGGAAGGAGGAAAGGAGGGGAGGAGGAAGGGAGTGAGGGAGACTAACCCAAAAGTTGTTAACACTATCTAGACTGGCCAGAAGTGGGCAGATAGGCCACAGTCTAGTCCAGAGCTGGTGACAGGCACTGAGGTGTGAGGCAGGGGGAGGTTTGCCTGCAAGCCTGCATTTACCTGGGGCTGAGTCATGTGTCCTTCTGTCTTAGTGTATAGCTTTGAGATTTGTGACTAACATGGACCACTGTTTTTATCTGCCCGAACAATTCCTTTTATTCTTACTTGCTCGAAACCACTGACTCTGCCTCGCCTTCCCTCTCTTATCCCAGGCCTATAAGGGTTTGCTCTCTCCCCCCTTACGCCTGTCACTGCTCCCAGAGACACGGCCAGGGATGATGAGTTACCTGTTCATTAAGCTGTATGACCTGTGTTTCTAAATCTTTATCAGATTTGGATGCTGAGCTGCTGGACGAAGCCCTTTTGGCTGATGAGGGACGAGAAGGTGTGGATCCTGGTTTAGATGCTGGACTTGATTTAGCCGCACCTGAAAGTAACCAGAATAAATTATAAATATTGGCAACAGTAAAAATGCTTTTCAGATATATAGCAAACATATGATATAAAAGGAGTTTACTAAAAAGTATGAGAGGTGAAAGTACAAGGTGAACCTAGGACACTGTTATGTCAGAAAGCAAAGATGAGCTCAAGGATTAATGTCAAAGGGTACAGGGGCCAGCTTGAAGGGGCTCCAAACTAGTCACACTTGGGATAGTTTGCATACCAAAAGAATAATGGCTGTAATGTATTGCAGTGCACTGAATAAATAAGAAACTAGTCCATACTGGGAGGGCAAGGGAAGGAGGGAGGATGTAAAACTCTTCTCTATAGAACACTGAAAGCTAGTAAATGTAGAAGAAATGTTAGAACTAGAAAAACCACAATTTTGTTAACACCCATAACTGATTCAGGCAAGGCTCACTGACTGCCTCTAAAACACTGAGAAGTTTTGGAGGAACAAGACATTCAGACATGTCAAGGTACTGCCCTATAAATTACTTATTATAAAGGGAAAAAGATAGGCCTTTACAGTGGGGAGGTTTGGGGATCAGCACCTTAACCAAGTGATTCAAGAGCATCACAAATAATAATAGAAATAAAAAAGAACAAACCAAAAACAGACCCCTGATTTCAGGTAAGATCTCACCTACCTAGAGCTCAGCTCACGATAGACTGTTAGTCTCTAGAACATGCCACACACCTAGGGAATGGCCTCTGCAGCCGAAACAGAAGCCACAAGGTATATGCAATGAAGTTTACACACTTCATGGATTAAGAAAATCAGAGGCATTACTGGGGGCCCACCCACTCCCTTTTACTCTGAACACAGTCCCGCCAGGTGGCAGCTCAGTCTGGTATAGGCGGTCCTCCTGTGTGGTCCCATGGGCCCAATTCTCCACCACCATCCCTCATACTCTACGCTTCTAGAAGGCTCTTGGTGGGCAAGGGACATGTTTTATTCAGCTTTGTAATTCCAGTGCTTAGCACAATGCTTGGCTGAACATATATTTGGTGAAGGAACAAATGTTTAAATAAATACATGAATAAGTAAATAAAATTTGGTTATATGTTTTCAAATTGTACAGTTCATTTCCAACTTTACAATTTATCAGTACCAACAGATTAGAAAGAGGCAGCAGTTATAAAGGCAAGTGTTCTGAAAGCAGTTACAAGTTTCAACCAATCTCCTAATTACAAAGTAGCAAACAGGACAACTTCAGGTGCCTAGAGTCAGTAGTGACAGGTGCAAAGTCATACATACCCTCAGGAAGCACAGACAGTATCATACCCTTTAAAATACATGCCTCTCTGGTATAAAGAAAAAAACGGAATTTTCTTCTAAAAATACAGGGAAATGCCTGATATATTTTAAAATGAGAACGAGTTAATTGGGAATGACTTAAAATAGTCTGCGTTTTCGAAGGGTAAATCTTCAGTGACTGGAAACCTCACCTATGCAGAAGAATGTCCCAAGGATTCTAGAGAGCTGTATTTGTGATTCTTATACATTTGCAAGGATCCTTTATCTCTGTAGAAGGCCATATAAAACACTGCTGGAACACTACTTCCGTGTCCCATTGGCCAGGCTCTCTAACTGAAGGCCGAACAAACGGGGTAAAGAAAACAATGTGGAGAACAGCAGGGGAGCCAGGGGAGGACATGCTGACCTGGCAAAGAGGCTTCTCTGAGGGCAGCCACCAGCCAGCCTAGCTAGGGAAGCAGCTTTTGAAAAATCAAGTTACTTCAGATCTTTTTATAAACAATACATCATATTTTAATATAAAGAAAATCTAACAGAAAGCAGCTCAAAGACTGTGATCAACACATCTTATTTACTAAATACATGTTTACTAAGTGCCTACTATGAGCCACGGACTGGAGATCCCTGCTTTCCAGGAGCTCATGGTCTTGTGCGAGTCACAGTCATCTGTCTAAGAATGCCGAGACATGGCCACGCTCAGCATTCTCAGGAACAAAGCAGTGTTCTAGACTACATGACCATAGAGTGCGATTCGGGCTGTATTCCCTCTGCCTGAAACCCTCCTCCTCCCCTCCTCTGCGTGACTAAGTCTACCATCTCTCATGTCATCAGCGTAGATGTCGCTGCTTTGAGAGGCCACAGCACCCGGAACACTTTCTGCCTAGCGCCTATCAACTGTAATGGTGTAGTTATTTATCTAATGCCTACTTCTCCTATTAGATAAACTCCACAAGGTAGGAGCTGCATCTGTTTTGCTTATGCTCTATGTTCCTATGGCCTCACAGTGCCTGACCCAGAGGAGACACTCAATAAAAGTTTCTATAATTCATTAAACAACCCCTAGGAGAGGCATCTATCCACGGTAGAAATATCAGAGAAAGCTCAAGGAGCTGATGCCAACATCAAAGTCGCTGACAGGAAGAGCCAGCAATACACAAAGGAAACCAAACAAAAATCAACAGCCTCCCAGAAAGAGATCTCTTACTTGGTTTCCTTTCAAGATCCCCTTGCATTATTACTTAGGAATCGGGACAATAGTTCAAGTGGGTAAATTCAGTCAGTAAATGGTTAACTCTGAGTAGGAAGGAGCAAAGTGGTTTGTGCCAGGCTGTCAGAGTCTCTGCCAGGTTCACTGCCTCTTCTGAAGGAAAGAGCGCTGCAGAAGTGGCTTCCCTAGAGAGCACGCGACCCACCGCCCACCCGGGCAGTCGTCTCTAGGCAGGTCAGCACCTATGATCTGGCTGGCTGTAATAACTGAGCTGGCTTCATCAGACACACTCATGTTCTTATACTCTGCCTTATCCAGTCGCATGTGAATTTTAAAAGAAAAACATGGAAGGAATAGAAGCTGATTACTTGTAAAACAGGGCTACCATGCATTATATTTTCAGGACATCATCAAATGCAGCCTGAAAAAAACATGAAATATTTGCTATGAAGTAAAAGTAGAGGGGGTCATGGGAAGCCAAAGCCCCGTGCAAGGCCAAGTTACCAGGGAAGAGAGACGATGAATAAGCGGAGGAAGCTGGCAGACGGCCACGGAGGAGACACCTTGTGGCTCACAGCAGAGAGGCCTGAGCTGCCGCAGTTACTGCTGTCCCGGTTCCAGCCACACGTAGCCTCACAGGGAAACCCCGTTTTTTCTTGAAGAAACACATCCCTTGCTATCGACAGAGCCCAACTTAAATATGCTTGTGGGGGTCTGAATGGCCAGACTGTGGTTCAGAGTCTCTGCCTTAAAACCACATCTGTGCTTCACGGATCCTGTCAAGGTCAGCTGGGGCGCAGAGGCCCAGGTCTTTCACCCTGGCACACATGCGTGCAGCTTGTGGGTCTCCTCGAGATGAGAAAGGTAAAGGCAATAAAAATCAGACTTGGCGTCCTCTGCTGCCGGGCAGGGCAGGGATGGTGGAGAAGAGGGGGCTTGGTCCACGCCCCACCACCTATAACGCTACACGAGGGGTGAAAGACAAGCTTCTGCTCCCCGCCCTCCCTTGACAGTCACTAACTACAGGTGTGGGGCAGCCTGGACAGAGAAAGGAACAGAAAACAAATTTGAAAAATTTAATAAAAGATCCTCTAAGTAATTAGTATTTGGAATTTAAAATTAGAGGGGTTTTGAAATTCTAAAGTTGTTTGGAAAGAAACTGATAATAGAGGGCAATCAACATCTGATGAACGAGGGTATGAGAGATCAGGACTAGTTACCTGTACATTTATACCTTCTAATGAATAAATGCCAAGAAATGAAAGAACAGGAAAGACATGGGGAAGATCTTAGTATATTTAGGGGTTTAGAGTTTAAAAAAACCACACAATTAAGGGTTAAACTAAAAAGCTCATTTTCAAAAGAATGTCAAGTGAGCTCTTTAAATCATCACAGGCTGTAATTTGATATGGAAGTAATTTCCTCTTCACAGCTATCACACGATTAACATACACTAAGAAATACTAAATACTAAAATTTATAAAAATGAAAACAAAACCATTTGTTGATTATCTTTAATGATTTCATGGTTTACTTTTTAGAATAATAATAGTAGACAATATTTTAAAGTATATCACCCTCTTTAGACAGTTAAGAACTAAGTTTTTCTTTATTTGCTTTAAAAATCTTACTGTCTTCTAAAGTGCTTCTGGGGGCTCGAGAGAGTCTTTTCCCACTTACCTGGGCCACTATAATAAGGACATTATCAGAAAATCGTAGTTATCAATGTCAGTAAATTTAACATTGATATAATACCTCTGTGTAAGCTGCCATTTGTATGGCAATTTTGTGAAGTGACCCCCTAATGTCCTTGATAGCATCCAATCCTGGCTTTAGATACTGCGGTCCTCGAGAGCTGCCTTCCTGCTTCCTAGAATGCCGCCTGGTCCACCGATGATTTCACTTCTCTGCCTTCCCAGGCCTTTCTGCTGCTTATGTGAAAAACATTTACACAATGGCTTTTAAAGAGAGTGCAGCTACTTTGGCTCTAATACAGATATAGGTTTTTTTTTCTTGCAGCTATCAAACATTTCAATTTTTTTTCAAGCTGCATTTGACGATGTCCTGAAAACATAATTAGTGGTAGCCCTGTTTTATAAGAATCATTTTTCCCTCAAGCTCTTCTCTCCCTCCCTAATTTTCCCTTTCAAAAGAAAAAGGAGTTTCAGAAGCAGAGGAAAATAGACATAAATTCTGGACAAGTCCCTGTAATTCTCTGACTTTACCCATTGGATATGGACATGATTTACAATGCCAGTCTTTGAGCAGTTGTATCTTAATTAATGCCTTTAGGATTTGGGGTATAAATATGATTCTAAGACATTTTAACCATAGTTGTAAAAAACGAAGAGTGGCCTGATTCATTGCCTTACTGAAGCCAGAGCATCGCCGTGTCTAATGTCAATAATTAGTAGCTTGCTTAATGTTTATGGAAAATGCTACAACATTCCGGGCATATGAGGCCCAATGAATTCAGAATGGTGAAGCAAATAAAGCATTGTACTTGACTTATCCTTCA